ACTGCTTGCATTTGGGCCTTCTAGGGTGGTCGTGTCACAAGAACTTCACCGTGTGACTCAAGGCTACCTCGAGTCTGGAGGCCACCACGGTCCCCAACAACACGTACTTTGGATCCAACCTGCCTTCGTGGAGTAGTGCACAAGAAGCACGCCGCCACGCACTGGCAGTAGCTGTCAGTAGCGTGGGACTGTGAGGTTAGATTGTCAGAATCCCAAAGAGCTTGGGGCCTGGTGCCTTACAACCGACTGTCGTTCAAGTGAGTTTGAGGCTTCGAAGATACAAGGTCTGGAAAACCTCCATCCACCTGCGACCAACCCCAAACTGCTCAGTTCCGACGGAAAGTATGTTTCTCTGGGGCGTCGGCTGATGTGGAGAGGCACGCGTCAACAAGAATCAGTGTGAGGCTCCGATGGCTGTGGCTGCAATTGCGCAGTTGCAAGGAGTAAACACTACGCAACCATTCAAAGAGCGAGTAGGGAAGGTTGCGGAGAGTCCCAACTAACTGACTGTAAAGGTAAAGACGGGTTCCAGTTGACGGGGTTATCATGATGAAAGCATTCTCTTGGTCCGAACCCATGTCATTGTAAGCAACAGACATCTTCACAGCGTCCTGTTTCAGTTCAATACCGCAAAACTCGAACAGAGATCTTACATTCTTACGAGTGTTGCAGGCCGTTCGACCCGACACTGGACGAGATCTCTAGAAACACGGCAGGGCGAAGCTCACACAACAGGCTGTCGGCCTGAAAGATTTTCGCCGTGGAGGACGTCGTCGATGGCCCGGATGGCCTACAAGTCGCCGGGGCCAAAGCGAGTGCATCTGCTGTTGGCATAGGCTGGCCCGGAAAGTCCATGAGAATTGCCCTGTTCTCGCTTCAGTCTCGCACTGAACCGTCACCTCCGTACTAAGTCAATACGTCGGCAATCATCGGCACATATGTACGCATTCTTGGCTTCTATCTGCAGAATTACCCGAACATGGATTGGAGTTCCTGCCTTAGCCGCACGACCAAAGAACTTTATCATCTTCTTTGAACATCACTTAAAAGAGTTCCATGATCCATGTGTACTCATGGTACCAAATAAAGCCAAGAAAAGCCTGGTCTCCTGAAGGTGTGAGTATGTGTGTGTGTGTGGGTGTGAAAAACCATGGTGCCCTGGAACTAGCTGTCAGTAGCCGGCACAAGACGTAGCGGTGAGAACTTCCTCAACTCTAACTTGCATCCGCCAATTGGGTGAGGATTCAACATTGGGAATTCCGGAGCCTGTACGGTTGGAGATTGTGACTTCCTCGATAACTCGGGGTGGCTCCAACTGGAACTCACCGAGATCCAACAAAGAGTGTAAACAAGCTGAAAGGAAGTGGCTAGGAAGGGACTTCTCGGAAGGGGCCATATATCGCACCGTCACCAACTCCCTGTGAAAACCTATCGTACAAAGTCAAAATCTCCGAAGCTTCCTGACCCTAGACTACAAGTTTTCACCAGATATCTTAGCAATCTTAAGCCAATGCTGCAATCCATCTGCAGTCTTTGGTCTTTGGGGCTTCCACTGTCTGTGGAGCCCTCTTGCGCCTCCTTGACGATGTGGACGCCTGGGGTCTGCAGAATCGCATGACCAAAGTGTCCGCGTTACAGCAGACTGCCGTTCAAGTGAGTTTGAGGCTTCGAACATACACTGTCGGGAAAACCTCCATCCACCTGCGACCAACCCCAAACTGCTCAGTTCCGACGGAAAGTATGTTTCTCTGGGGGGCCGGCTGATGTGGAGAGGCACGCGTCCACAAGAATCAGTCTGAGGCTCCGATGGCTGCGGCTGCAACTGCGCAGTTGCAAGGAGTAAACACTATGCAACCATGCAAGGAGCGAGGAGGGAGGGTTGGGGAGTCCACTGGGCTCAATTAGAGACAGTATCACTGAAGGTTGGGGTTATCATGATGAAAAGCATTTTCTTGGTCCGGACCTCAGTTCTCGACCAACAAGGCTGAACCCATGTCATTGCAAGCAGCAGACATCTTCACAGCGTCCTGTTTCAATTCAATACCGCAAAAACTCGAACAGAAATCTTCCGTTCTTCCGAGTATTGCAGGCCGTTCGACCCGACACTGGACGAGATCTCTATATTTCTCAGCCACGCAAGCCACAGACGGGACATCCCCACCTTTGAGGCTGTTCAATGCTTCTACTTGCCTCCGGGTGCGATACTGTGCGTGCTTTCTTGGTTCATACTTATCTGTAGCCAAAAACACTTTGTATTCCGGCTGATAACATCCGAAAAAACGAGCCATCATTGTGCATGGGTTCCTTTTGCCCCAACCAAATCGAGATCAACCCCAGCAGTAGCACCTCATGGCAGGCCTTCTGTACAAGTAGAACCATCACGACCGACAGCATCGCCCATCTTTTCTCGCTATCTCGCTCTCTCGCGGGGCTGGCAAGTTCCAGAAGAAGACACGACCTGAGGATTTCGAGCTTGCAGAAGAGATTTACAGATTAGAGGTTCAGCATTTGAGGCTGGATTCGGCCCCAAGTATGTATACTTAGGCTTGTAACTCGTGCCCATTGTAGAAACGGATTGGTACCGTGCTGCTGAGTAGGAATCATCATAAAACATGATCTGGATTTCGATTGGACCGTCTTGTTTTGAAGCTAGGTCCGAGTCTAAGGATTGGGTTGCGATGAAGTTCTCTGCCACCATCGGTGGAGGACGTAGTCTGTGAGCGGTTGCCGCTGATGATGCTGATGATACTTGCATGCACGGGCCAAGCCAAAATCGCAGATTTGGACGTCGCGTTTCCTTTAACCTCAAGCAAGTTCCAGGAAGCTGCGAAATTCTCCATCCGACCGACAGGCTCCCTCCCCCGAGCGCTTGCGCGGGCCGGGCATCGGACCCTCGCTTTACCCGGCTGCGCGGCGGACCTCAGCTCTTCCCCAGCAGAGCTGGCGGGTTTATATAAAGCGGCCCTTGTAGACGACCCCGGGAGGGCAGTCGAAGCCGAAGGGCGATGCCTGCTGCCTGTCTGCCTGACTGACTGCCTGCCTGCCTACCGACCCACTACATACATGCATACAATTACTAGCCAGGGTTGAGGGTTCGCAGGTGTAAAGGCATGTATTAAAATGACCCACGTGCTCTGGGGTCTGCGGGTTTCGGGATTCAGGGTCTATGGACTTCGGATTGGGATGGGGTTGCGGCCGCAGGAGTCCTCACTTTCTAAAACCTACGGCCATCTTCGTCGGGGGTTGAGGCATCACGGCAGCCTTGCCAACTCAGCTTCCCTTTCATCGATGATGTGGTTGCATACTCAAGTGATCTACATGCTGAGAATGCAGCATGGCCCACCACTTTTCGAATGCGTCTGCCTGCGAGAACAAGGACGGATCAATGGACCAGAAAGCCGCACGAGCGGAGGCACCTGGTCGGGCTCTACTTCCTCGACCAGGTCGGCCCCTGTCGGGCAAACAGGTACTGTAATGCTAAACTAAAAGAGTGCCTTAAAGAGCATAGGCTCAGGCTCTTGCAGCGGACGCGCCCGTGGGTGTCGTCCACCCATGGGCTGGTGCACCGATCCCCTTTTGGGTACATGGCCTTGGCGCTCAGGATTCTGCGCCTCTTTGGCCAGCCTCACACCACTGCCGCGAGATATCCGACCGCATGTGGATTCGGGCACGGGCCCCAGCACCGGTCTCGTCGGCCTCTGGGGGCCCGATGTCAAAAATCTCAGGCAGAATCGCAAATGAGCCCTAAAACAAAGCCTCGAACCTGCAAAGCTCTTGCTTAAGCCTCGGTTGGGAGGCCTCGGCAATGTCGGAGTACAGCTGGATGGGGCTGCCCTCCTTGCCTTGCCGGACGACTTAATTTTCTATCTTTATCAGATCTAATCAGCCGAGGCTGGAGCAACTTCTGCCTCTCGTAGGCGACCATGACAGCCTGCAGAAAGTGTCTGAATCGAAGCCTCTGTGCAAACAAAAACTAGTATATACTCCGTCACCTGGAATCTTGATGATATCCAAGCGGCGCTGAAGCTGAAGGCCTTGCACTGCAAGTGGAAACGTGTGGGAATGCCATGCCCCCTCCTGCTCTCCTCCGACTATTCGGACACTCCGGACCACCGTGCAACGGCACAGCAGGCTATAGAGCAGGTGTTCTGGGCTCCATGCATACCCCCCTCATCAATGCCTTAGCAAGCGGTGGGTGCTAGCCTGCAAGCATCAGACAAGTCAAACCACTCCGATCAGGCTTGCCAAAGTGCAGTGTCCGCGCTCCCTGAAGCATCTTGATGGCGAACCTCTGCAGCTTGAAGCTCTGAAGTGTTGGTTTGTGCCAAGATTCGGTCTTTCAGAGCCCTCAACACTGACTCAACACTCCGCTGCAGGATGGAAACCAGAATAACGGAATAAAGCCAAGCCTTTTCAACAGCAGAGGGTTAAACTCTGTACAACTTCGGGCTGTACAACTTCGAGCAGCGGCCCCTTTGTCCTGCCCAGCTAGCACCGCTTTCCGACACACAAAAAGCTTGCTGCCCTGCTCGGGCGTCAGAGGGAAAAGCCATTCCTATGCCGTTTGCATGCTTTGTAAATATCCTAGAAACTCTTGTGATCAGTCCTAAAGTGATGCCCCACAGGCAAAGTTCGCACGCTTGGCTATAGGAAAGATGACACGAAAAGAGCACGAAGCTATGCCCCTACTCAGAAGGCTTTGTTTCCCTGTACTTCCGGATCCGCATCTCCTTTCAGCTCACAGGGTTGCCATCTAGTTCACAGGCGAGAGTCACCAAGAGCTCCTCAGCCTGCATCCCGCTCCAGGAAGCCCTGTTATGAAAGCTCCACAAAACCTTCACCCCAATGCTTGCATCCCCACAGCTTCTGAGCCCTAGTTACATCACTGCTGAGAAATTCTTTCAACTCTTCCTGCCAGTGCCATGGACATCTAGCTGCACTGCGACAAGCACATGTGACTTCACGTCGAACTGGCATCTTTTAGCATAGGAGTCCTTCTCTCAGCAGTACAGCTGAAGCCCGTTGAGATTCAGGCGGGAACCTGCAAGGGCCGGGGCGGAGCACTTGCTGTGGCAGTGGAAGCGGTGGTGGCAGACGCTGGTGGCACCGGCTCAAGAGTGGGAGTAAGTGGAGGTGCTAGTGGTGTTGGTTAGTGGTGCTGTCACAGGCACTGGTACGGAACAACGCCCGCAAAGGAAAAAGGTCATCTAAAATCAAGCACAAGCATGCAACAACAGTGTCGCTGTGCTTTTCAGTGTTCGGACGCTGAGGATCACACTCTGCGCTGCGCGATCGTTCAGCCAGCTAGTTCTTTCCTCAATCTGCTTTCGCAAGTTCTCATCCTGCTTCTCCTGCCATGGCACTGTTTTGGGCTCCCGGCACTACCTTGGGCGCTTGAAATGCCACCTGTCGTTAGTACCATCTCACCTTCATGATTCACATCATTCCTAGACATGCTTAAGCCTGGGGCATATGCAGAGCCTCGCTCGTGGAGGAACCGTGGGTGCTCATCACATCCGAGGACCCGAAGTTCGCCTGGTGGAGAATGTCTGGAAGTTGACACCCCTTGCTGGACAACAGCTTGGGTGCCTCCATGGGTTGATGTCATGAGGGGGATGCCAATTGAATCCCCGTTCCGGGAACTACCGACGGTAGCTGCAGTGTAGTTATTAGGCTGTGACAGCGGCCATCAGGCCTCAAGGTAGTGCTTGCCGCGCTCACCTGGGCTGTCACACGCTTGAGGCTGGCAGCTCAAACGGGCACTGCTCGACCTCGCTCCTGCAGTTTGTGAAATCCCAGTGGCAAACATGGTCGGCCATGTAAGCCGGCGTCGCGTAGCCCACAGATTTGTCAGCCCGCGAGTACATGTGGCACAACTGGAATGTGATGGTTTCCTGAGTTTCCCACAGCGGAACCCTCAAAGCAGAGCGTATCTTCAGCCAAAATGAGAAGAGGAATTGAAATGGATCCAAGCTGCAAAGTCATCCACAGTGATTCCTTTCTTCACGAGACGCTTGTCCAGGTGCAGGATGTGGTAGTGGCAAGGCACTGACGTGCCTTGAATACCTCAGCTGCATGTGCTTGTGCTGCTGGATGTCGTCAGAACGCTCAACATGACATAAAACTGTTTCAAAAGGCTCAACTCTGGCATAACTTCTGGGTAACAAATGACAACATTGCCCCCGACCACAGTTGAAGGGGCCCGGCCTAGCTGTGAGACCAGGAAGAAGTTCAAATGCGATGGCTGGGCTATGCCCTCGCTGGCCACCGTACCAGGAGGAACCTGGACGAGTTTGGCAGGCAAATACCGTTCCTGGGCCCTTAAGATAGCCTGTTCAAACATCCCTAAACCCTAAACCCTAAACCCAAAAGGATAGAGCTCGAACTTCAGGATTCTTATGAAAGGGGCCTGTCTTTCTGAGTCTCCCGACGTGCCTGCGCAGTGTCCTTTCCTTTGCCCTTGCCTTTGCCTTTGTCGTCCTTCCCCTGCAGCATTGCTCGCATCGAAAGCACATGAGAAACTGCATTCCGAAGAACAGTCGTGGCACTAAAAGGACGCTAACTCACCTCGGCCGGTTGATGAGTATTCAAGCCACAGACGGGATGACTAAAAGTTCCCCCCGTGCCCACACTCCTGCCTGGATTCCCAGGGGGTTTGTATACACATGAAGCCCAGCGCAGGCCTTTAACTATGGATTTAAAATTGAACACCACCTACAACACGGAAAGCCTCGCGCCAGCTCACAACTAGCGAGTAAACACATCTCATCAACGAAAGGCTGCGTGCAAAACTCAAGGCGGTGCTGATCGCCCTGGAGAAGAGCAGAAAAGCGCCCAGGCCTTGTCCTTTCCTTTTCCCTTGCCCTTGTCATCTTGAAGGCCGCCATCCTGCATCCAAAGGCGCGTCTGGTGGCGCTTCCTTAGAGAATCTCGCTGGGTTTAGGGTTTAGGGTTTAGGGTTTAGGGCTAAAGCCAAGAGATTCAGAGCTTCCGATGGCTACGGCAGTGGCTATCCGTGGTGAGCTCTGTCAACAGCAAGGCCCGCGAGCAGAAGCAACCTTTAATACCTATACTTCTGAGAACAGTCACCGTGCAGAGCAACTTGCAATGAGAATGACCATAAACAATCCCAAAGCAAGTTCTGACAATCAGAGCGCACACACACATACACACACACACAAACACACACGCACGCACGCACGCTAACATATAGCGTGCTTTGATCAAGATAAAGCAGGGTTTCTGGCCCACAATGATCACCAGCTTCGGGTCGTACGTGGTGCTGATCTTCTTGAAGGCATCATCCAGCCTCGGCTCCCGCCTCTCTCTTGCCGAAGCAACTCTGAGAGAGGCTCTGATTCGGAAGGCTTTCGGGCCTTTCGGAAACTCCTCTAAACCCCAAACCCCAAACCCTAAACCCTGAAACACCCTGAACCCTAAACCCTA